CCAAAGCCTTTGGATAGCAAATGGTACCTAGTTTGTCCTTTTAAAAATTCAAATTGCCGGCCATTCCAATGTGACCGTTTTCATTTTCAGCAATGGTACTGATTCATTGAGAGAAGATCATACTCCAGATTACTGCAACGAATTGGATGATGAAGAAGCTGAATCTTACAACGAAGTTCTTGGAAGTGATGATGATGAACAAGAGGACCCCAGGGATTATTGCAAGGGTTAGCCATATTTTTCTTCATTCTTAGATGGTTACCATCCGGTTAAGATAGGACAGGTATACAATTCCAGATACCATGTTGTTCGAAAACTAGGATGGGGTCATTTTTCTACTGTTTGGCTATGCTGGGATCTTCAGTAACTTCAATTGATTTCATTTTTTTAGAGCCAAGAGATTTGTTGCGATGAAAATTGTCAAAAGTGCATTACACTACACAGAAACTGCCTTAGATGAGATCAGACTCCTAACATGTGTTCGCGACTCTGATCCTTCCGATCCATTCAGGCAGAGGACTGTCCAACTACTAGACGATTTCAGAGTCTCAGGCCTTAACGGTGTTCGTATCCTTTTCCATGTTTTTATTTAATTGACCTTTTACTGCTATTTCCTTAACCTCTTTTGTTAGACGTTTGCATGATTTTTGAAATCCTTGGACATAACCTTTTGAAGCTGATTATTCGTTCCAGCTATCGCGGGATTCCCCTAGAAAACGTCCGCTCAATTATCAAGCAGGTAACTTTATAGGCTAAATGCTTTCGTTTATATATAATTATTAATCTTTCCCGTTTTTAGACTCTCCAGGGTCTGCACTATTTGCATACAAAATGTCAAATAATTCATACTGATATAAAGCCAGAAAATGTTTTGGTTTGCGTTTCTGATGCCTATGTCCGACGCCTTGCTGCCGAAGCCATTGACGCTCAGCGTAGAGGCATTCAATTATCGGGTTCTGCCGGTAAGCAAGGGAGACATTTATATCCCTTGAAAACTTATAATGAGCCTATTTTGGTGATATATCTCTGTCTACTCTTGATAAATTGTTGCTTTAGCTGATTGCAATCGTTCTAAAAGATTTTATTACTCATATTTTCGATTACAATCGACAGAGTGCTACCTATATACTAATGGGATTAGAATATTCTGGGCTAAATCGGGACTACTGCTTGCTCTGTTCGAGAAACATTTTGTGGCAAAGACAAGTCACTGTGAAATTTGAATTCGTCTTGGAATGCTGGCTCTTCATATTATCGTGGGAAATAATTTAGATTTACTGAATTACTAATTTTGTTGTATCTTAGGTTAATATTATTACGATTGCATTGGCAAACATATCATTAACTCGTCGATAATCCAACTATTAATGCGATTTACAGGATGCCAGACATCTTTTGGATGCCGCATCTGTCATTTAACCCACTGGCACTAGTGCCTAACTAGAACAGTAATAGTGCTGCCACAAAGCTTCATTGTATGGGCTCTAGTTTTAAGTGCCAATGTTACCAAAGCGAAATTAAAATTTCATTACACTCGATGTTGGTTAACTAAACTATTTTTCCTCGAATCACCTTAGTCAGCCAAGTATAACTAAATTGAACAAACTTGTAAAAACATTTGTATTACGGTCTTGATTTGCTTTCTTTTTGTACAGTGAGTACCGCACCCAAAGACAAACCCGTTGATCTCGGCAAGATAAGTAAAAGCTGTAAGAAGAGGATGCGCAAAAAGCAGCGTAAGCAGCAAGCTCTTCTAGAGCAAGAGTTGAATGAACTAGAAGAATTAGAATGTCAGGACCTGGAACGACAAAAACAGGAGACTCGACTTGTGTCCATTATTCGTGACTCCTCTGTTAAAACCGATTTTGAAATTGGCTCGAATAGTTCTGATAAAAAACTTTCAAATATCAATATGAATGAAACACCTCATGTTGGGATTGAAGATGGCGAAATCGAAGATGAGGGTGATACAGAGGTAAACGAAGAGTCTCAGACTGGATGTTCGACGCATATTGACGAACCACGTTCACCGAAGCTTGAGTTTTCTGCCAGTAGACGACGTAAAAAACGTAGAACAAAAAAGAAAAAAGCAATCATTGATGATTCACTCTCAAAAACGCTTCAATATAAAGTTAATGGTAGTTCCATTGCTTCATGGAGTAAAGGTTAGTATCCTATATATTCATTATTTTTGGTAAATTATTTCCTGTCAGTAAATATGATGCTATACGACTTTCAGTTTGGTCATAGCTCGTTTAGCTTTTTATTGTTGGTTCGAAATTGTTTTCGTGACTTTCCGAGTATCAGGAAGACCTTGTGGAACGTTCCTAATACATTGTCCTTTTTCATATTCCTGATTTCCGGCATCGGACCATCGGGAATGTACCAAGCCGATTGTCCAATGATAGCAATCATGAATACTATGACAGAGGACATTGGACTAGATGCGTTTCACAAGGTCTTCATAATGCCTCGACCAAGTTGCAAAAACAATCGAACCAACACTATTTCGTGACAATTTGCCTGTATAAGTATAAAGCCAGTAGCCATAATATA